ATTAGGAATCAGCAAGACTGTGGAAGAACAGAAAACATCAAACACCAAATAGAAACAAATAGGAGATCAACTTGCCAGTATCAGTAGAATTAAGCTACTCTACTGTCTAAAGAATTCCACTTCCAGATATATGACTTAGAGAAACCTCACATGGGCACACAAGAAGACATGTACAAGGATGTGTAATGTAGCATTGTTTATCAATAAACAGTGTAAAAGATTGGAAACAATATAGGTGTCTATCAATAGAGAAATAAGCTGTGGCATATTTATTCAGTAAGATGTTATATGACCAATAAGATGGATGAATTGATGTACATGTATTAAAATTGATAAATTAGAAAATTCAATGAGAAAAGGAATTTGCAATAGGGTATGTACTATATACCATTCATACATATTCTAAAAAAATGTAAGACTGAATCAAGTATTTTATAGGCAAATGCATATATAGGAAAAATAAAAAAATGGATGAGAAAGATAATTTGTTCAGGTTGGTGGTGACCCCAGAGGAGAGAGAACATGACAGATAAAGGTTGCTTTATTTCTAAAACAAATGAACAAAGATCTGAAGCCAGTATGGTAAAATGTTAACATTTATGGAATTGGGTTGGTGGGTTCATAGATATTTGATATTCTGCCCATTTCCTTATATTTTAAATATTTCATAATTAAGATGTTTTAAAGTGTGGGCACTTCAGGAGGTGGATATAGAATATACTGTTTCATGAATATTGATAGTAGTGAGAATGATAGCTTAAAGACAAACTTTAAGCAGGAAACACACTAGCCTCTTATACTAGATTGGAATATATGTGTGTATATGTAGATATGTATACATATATGTGTATATATATATGTATAAATATCTTCTGATTGAGTACATTGTTTTTATAGTCTTATTTTCACATATGTTGTTTTTTATGTAGATCAAATTTTGAACAAAATAGATATTCTGAATTAGTTTTAAGTCAATGCCAGAACTATTGCTCTATAATCACTGTTAACTCAGTATAGTAATCCACAGAATCCTAGGCCCAGCACTAATATTAATTGAGCTAGCATATGTATGTATTCCTATTCATAGTTAAGAATTTTTTTATAATGTAAAGTCCTTTTTACTATGACAGGAATCATGCTACTTTTTCTCTGTAGGACATACCAATCAATATAGTATGGACATTGGTTAAAATTTGGCTCTATACTCTTTGTGAATTGTGTAAAATCAGAAATGACAGAAAATTAATTTAGAAGACTTTTTGTCTTTTTTTTCATATTTTGGTCTCTGTTCTATAATTTCATTTCAGTTTGGTAGTGTGTATTTTTTTTTTTTTAGTATTAAGACAAAAGATAATGTTTCAAGGCTTTTTGTAGGACAGTTCATGGTTTATCATTTTACCTTTAAAACAGTAGCTATAATTTTCCATTCTTTTGCTAAGAGGTCCAGAATTTAATTAAACTGTGATAATAATTTTGGACATTGTTTGAGAATAGGTACTGCATTATTATATGTGAATTATTTTTCAATAAAACAGTTATAAAACAAGGCAAAGTAGATGTTGTGTGTAGGTGATCTGAGTACTTTGAGTTTATATCACTTTAAGTAGATATCCAGGAAGAAGACAAAGTTTAAAATGACTTGAGTTATATGTAAATATGAACCAAAAATATTTTTGTTAAATCTAAAGTGAACCTGAAGTGGTCTTTTGATAGCCAGAGAATTTGTCCAATCTTGTTCAGCATCAGGATTATTGTTTGAGAAACAGAAAGACCTTAATTAACAAGCATGGTTGAGGAACTGGATACTGTTCCTTGCATGTTAAAATTAGGAAAGCTAGGGGGAAAAGGGTGCCATACCTTTTTAAGTTTTATAACAATGGTATTGACATATAATTTACATACCATAAAATTTACCCTTTCGAAGTGTGCAATTCAGTGGTTTTTAGTGTATTCACAGAGTTGTGCAACCGTCACCATGATTAAGCCATGTCTTTTAAAATGAAATCTTTACAAGAAAATTAAAAAGGGTTTACTTGAAAAAAAAAATCAAACGAATAATCATATCTGACTTGATTGTTTATAGTTCATGATGCATGATCAAAACCGAAAGTTTCTGTGATATGACTGCCCTTGTACTGTTCACCATGGAAGAACTTATTCACCATGGAAGAACTTGTTTGTTATGCTTCAGATAATTGGAGACTGTTGAGAATTAGGCTTGGGGTTGATTAATGATTGTGCATTGAGTCCCCTATACAGAATTTTATTGTTGTTAACAACCATTTGATCAATAAATATGAGAGATGCCCTCTCAAAAAAAAAAATGAAATCTTTACAAACTGATAACTGTAGGAGGAAAAAAAGGATTTTGAACTTAAGTTTGTACAGTTCATTTGGCCTTTACTTCTACTTTTATAAATAAAGAGACCAGCCCAAATCAGCTTTGGATTTATTAATCCCACTTAAGTTTAGTAGGGATTTTTTATTTGTTTCTGGTTATGTATTTGATACAGACTGGCAAGTGTTAAGGTTGATTCTTTTACTGCCTGCAGACAATCTCTGAATTTATCATTATCCTCATAATCAGAGCTGATTTCTTCACATCTTTTAAAGTTGTAAAATTGATAATGCACAAAGTGAATTTGGACATTTACCCTATCAATTTAAAGTTATAAATGGTAAACTCCAAATAATATCTTTAATATGAGTATTAATATAAAGTGAAGTTACATAGAATACCTTTTGGATGGCCCTCTATTATTCAGAATGGTTTTTCTGTTATACTGAGTGTAGGGAGACTAAACTTGAAGTGATAAACAGCAGCTTTGAAGTTAGTTCTTCCAGGAAACAAAGTCAGCACCTTGGAGTACATGGTCAAACATAGAAAGAAACACAAGAGCTAAACCCTTTTTTGTATCTATTTTTCTTTCTCCTTTCTTCATGATATTCTAATAAATATTCTTTCAGAATAAGAACATGGCTTAGGGTTTTATATTTAAGGTAGAAATGCAGATAGGAATTGCTGAGCTTCATTTTTCTTTATTCTAGCCTCTGGCTGGCTAAGAAACCAAATGTATAGCTTTGCCAGGAGTCTTACAAACTGCATGCTGCTATTTGTCACGGGAGTGCCTTGTTTGTCAACTTTTATGCTCTGTTCACTGTATTTTTAGCTCTTTAATTCTTCTCCCCCGGGCTTTTTGTGCTCAACTAAAATACATAATCATCTTCCCAACATGTTGTCTTTAAGAATGCATTATAAAGTAGAAGGGTCAACAAATATGACATTTTCTTTACATTTGTTAGAGTTATTGATTACCCTTTATCTTTCTTATAGTAAAACTTCACTAATCTCAGCTTCTTTTACTTGGTTAGTAATTGGTAATCATAAACATGTGATGGGTTATTGATTAAAATGAAACTAACATGAAAAATACTCAAATATGAAGCAAAGTGGGGAAGTGATGCAAAAACTACATTTGTGGATATGAGGGGAAAAAAGTCATGGATATGGATTTCCCCCCAGGATATTGCAAATACTTTTTACTGAAAAATTGTACAAGGTTCTGGTGTAGATGTAGCCAGTTCATTCATCATCTGTCCCCTTCCAGGACTAAAGATGAAGCAAGGCCCCATCCCACTCCTTTCAGAGTTTTCCTTGATCTTTTTTGTGGAACTTGTCATGAAAAACTACACTTGTAGGTGAACCATTTAGCACTTTTCACAACTGATGTGGTATACATATAAGGAGATTATGTATTTAGTAAAGAATAAATAATCCTAACAGGTAAATAAAATTAGCACAATTGTGTTTTGGGAAAAAAAAGGTATTAGTCAATCAGTGAATGATATAAAGCAATACAGTGTTTGAATGGAAAACATGGGAAAAATTTAATATTATAAGTCATTGAAGAACTAAAAACAGTGATGTTGTTTAATTTATACTTATTATCTGGGGAAGAAACCAAACACAGCTGTCTGGTGAAACTGTATAATTATACATTGCTGGTGGCAGTATAAATTGGTGGTGCATTTTGAAGGTAATTTAGTAATGCATTTCAAGTGCCACAGCATGTTTCATATCTTTTGACTTAAGATAAATTTCTAAAAGTAGGATGACTAAGGAACTAAGTCCCCCACATGGGAAAGACTATATATGCAGATGTTGAGTGTGGCATCATTCCTAAGAGTAAAGTACTGGAGATCAGTGATATATCCAACACTACAAGAACGGTTAAGTAAATCCTGAAATGTCAGCATAATGAGACCTTCTGAGTTAGACAAACTTAAGAAGAATGCTTAGTATATAATGCTGCATGAAAATAGGATTCAAAATTGTATCTGTGATGAACAGAAATCAAATTATTTATGGACTGTTTGCCCAAGAAATATGAAATAAATAAAACACAGTTTTGAGTGTGGTGGCATTTTGATTAATTAAAAAGATTTTTGTTTCTGCAATATAATAGTTTCCAGACATGTTTTTAAAATATTGAACATTTTCTTCTTCCTCTCCCATCAATAATCACTGCCTGAACCTTTAGGGAAGTGAAGGTGAAGAACTAGATAAAGAAGCAAATTGATTCTTCAGATCAGCTAGGACTATTTAGATAGCAGCAAAGAAGAAAGGAATAGTCCTTTTGATATTTTTTCTACTTCTTCATGTTCACTGTACTAACCTTTCCATATTATTGTTGTCTTTAAGGAGTGTGACATAATGGACAACATAGGATTTGGGAAATTCTGACTATCACTTGTTAGCTATGTGACTTTCAGCAAATAGTTTAATTTACTCAACTTTTTTTATTTGTAAAAGAAATATTGGAAGTATTAATTAAGGTAGTATATATAAAAAGGTTTTCATAATGTAATGCTCTATAAATGTTACCATTTGATAAACTTTGTAAGTTGAAATAGGAAAAAAGATAATCTGTACTTAGCAGACTGAATTTAATGGATGTTTGGAATGTTCCTAAAAGTATTTTCTTCCCTTTTTATTACAGGGATCTTTTATTTAGCCAGATGTATGACAAATTAAGTGAGAATTCAGTGGGCAAAGGAGTGTTTTTGGAGTGCCTTGAACCATATATTTTAAGTGATAAATTGGTGGGGATCACACCCCAGGTAATGAAAGACCTGATTGTTCATTTCCAAGATAAAAAATTAATGGAAAATGTGGAAGCCCTCATTGTACATATGGATATCACCAGTCTAGATATTCAGCAGGTGAGATTGTAAACAGTCTACTAATGTATGGAATAAACATGATTCCTTTATTTATTATATTTACCTGACTGATCAGGCCTCATTTTGACTTCAATTAACTCCAGTTGTTTATTGAGCATTTTTGGTAAGATGTCTCATAAACTTGTATTTGCCAATATATTTCTTAGGACTGTTTTTAATGAAAGTTGGATTATGAATTCTTACAAGCCAAGAGTCCAATATATTTCTTAGGACTGTTTTTAATGAAAGTTGGATTATGAATTCTTACAAGCCAAGAGTCTACTGTTTCTTTGCCATCCCTAAAGCTCTTAGCATAGAGGTTACATTTGGAAGTTGTTCAGTAAATGCTTATTGACTGGTCTTTCATCAGCTGTTTCTTCACTACTAAGTTTTCACCCTGCAAGTTAATTTCAACTGAGTACTTTCATATGAATAATAGAATATTTTTATTTTTAAGGAAGAGAATTAGGCTTGGGGTTGATTAATGATTGTGCATTGAGTCCCCTATACAGAATTTTATTGTTGTTAACAACCATTTGATCAATAAATATGAGAGATGCCCTCTCAAAAAAAAAAATGAAATCTTTACAAACTGATAACTGTAGGAGGAAAAAAAGGATTTTGAACTTAAGTTTGTACAGTTCATTTGGCCTTTACTTCTACTTTTATAAATAAAGAGACCAGCCCAAATCAGCTTTGGATTTATTAATCCCACTTAAGTTTAGTAGGGATTTTTTATTTGTTTCTGGTTATGTATTTGATACAGACTGGCAAGTGTTAAGGTTGATTCTTTTACTGCCTGCAGACAATCTCTGAATTTATCATTATCCTCATAATCAGAGCTGATTTCTTCACATCTTTTAAAGTTGTAAAATTGATAATGCACAAAGTGAATTTGGACATTTACCCTATCAATTTAAAGTTATAAATGGTAAACTCCAAATAATATCTTTAATATGAGTATTAATATAAAGTGAAGTTACATAGAATACCTTTTGGATGGCCCTCTATTATTCAGAATGGTTTTTCTGTTATACTGAGTGTAGGGAGACTAAACTTGAAGTGATAAACAGCAGCTTTGAAGTTAGTTCTTCCAGGAAACAAAGTCAGCACCTTGGAGTACATGGTCAAACATAGAAAGAAACACAAGAGCTAAACCCTTTTTTGTATCTATTTTTCTTTCTCCTTTCTTCATGATATTCTAATAAATATTCTTTCAGAATAAGAACATGGCTTAGGGTTTTATATTTAAGGTAGAAATGCAGATAGGAATTGCTGAGCTTCATTTTTCTTTATTCTAGCCTCTGGCTGGCTAAGAAACCAAATGTATAGCTTTGCCAGGAGTCTTACAAACTGCATGCTGCTATTTGTCACGGGAGTGCCTTGTTTGTCAACTTTTATGCTCTGTTCACTGTATTTTTAGCTCTTTAATTCTTCTCCCCCGGGCTTTTTGTGCTCAACTAAAATACATAATCATCTTCCCAACATGTTGTCTTTAAGAATGCATTATAAAGTAGAAGGGTCAACAAATATGACATTTTCTTTACATTTGTTAGAGTTATTGATTACCCTTTATCTTTCTTATAGTAAAACTTCACTAATCTCAGCTTCTTTTACTTGGTTAGTAATTGGTAATCATAAACATGTGATGGGTTATTGATTAAAATGAAACTAACATGAAAAATACTCAAATATGAAGCAAAGTGGGGAAGTGATGCAAAAACTACATTTGTGGATATGAGGGGAAAAAAGTCATGGATATGGATTTCCCCCCAGGATATTGCAAATACTTTTTACTGAAAAATTGTACAAGGTTCTGGTGTAGATGTAGCCAGTTCATTCATCATCTGTCCCCTTCCAGGACTAAAGATGAAGCAAGGCCCCATCCCACTCCTTTCAGAGTTTTCCTTGATCTTTTTTGTGGAACTTGTCATGAAAAACTACACTTGTAGGTGAACCATTTAGCACTTTTCACAACTGATGTGGTATACATATAAGGAGATTATGTATTTAGTAAAGAATAAATAATCCTAACAGGTAAATAAAATTAGCACAATTGTGTTTTGGGAAAAAAAAGGTATTAGTCAATCAGTGAATGATATAAAGCAATACAGTGTTTGAATGGAAAACATGGGAAAAATTTAATATTATAAGTCATTGAAGAACTAAAAACAGTGATGTTGTTTAATTTATACTTATTATCTGGGGAAGAAACCAAACACAGCTGTCTGGTGAAACTGTATAATTATACATTGCTGGTGGCAGTATAAATTGGTGGTGCATTTTGAAGGTAATTTAGTAATGCATTTCAAGTGCCACAGCATGTTTCATATCTTTTGACTTAAGATAAATTTCTAAAAGTAGGATGACTAAGGAACTAAGTCCCCCACATGGGAAAGACTATATATGCAGATGTTGAGTGTGGCATCATTCCTAAGAGTAAAGTACTGGAGATCAGTGATATATCCAACACTACAAGAACGGTTAAGTAAATCCTGAAATGTCAGCATAATGAGACCTTCTGAGTTAGACAAACTTAAGAAGAATGCTTAGTATATAATGCTGCATGAAAATAGGATTCAAAATTGTATCTGTGATGAACAGAAATCAAATTATTTATGGACTGTTTGCCCAAGAAATATGAAATAAATAAAACACAGTTTTGAGTGTGGTGGCATTTTGATTAATTAAAAAGATTTTTGTTTCTGCAATATAATAGTTTCCAGACATGTTTTTAAAATATTGAACATTTTCTTCTTCCTCTCCCATCAATAATCACTGCCTGAACCTTTAGGGAAGTGAAGGTGAAGAACTAGATAAAGAAGCAAATTGATTCTTCAGATCAGCTAGGACTATTTAGATAGCAGCAAAGAAGAAAGGAATAGTCCTTTTGATATTTTTTCTACTTCTTCATGTTCACTGTACTAACCTTTCCATATTATTGTTGTCTTTAAGGAGTGTGACATAATGGACAACATAGGATTTGGGAAATTCTGACTATCACTTGTTAGCTATGTGACTTTCAGCAAATAGTTTAATTTACTCAACTTTTTTTATTTGTAAAAGAAATATTGGAAGTATTAATTAAGGTAGTATATATAAAAAGGTTTTCATAATGTAATGCTCTATAAATGTTACCATTTGATAAACTTTGTAAGTTGAAATAGGAAAAAAGATAATCTGTACTTAGCAGACTGAATTTAATGGATGTTTGGAATGTTCCTAAAAGTATTTTCTTCCCTTTTTATTACAGGGATCTTTTATTTAGCCAGATGTATGACAAATTAAGTGAGAATTCAGTGGGCAAAGGAGTGTTTTTGGAGTGCCTTGAACCATATATTTTAAGTGATAAATTGGTGGGGATCACACCCCAGGTAATGAAAGACCTGATTGTTCATTTCCAAGATAAAAAATTAATGGAAAATGTGGAAGCCCTCATTGTACATATGGATATCACCAGTCTAGATATTCAGCAGGTGAGATTGTAAACAGTCTACTAATGTATGGAATAAACATGATTCCTTTATTTATTATATTTACCTGACTGATCAGGCCTCATTTTGACTTCAATTAACTCCAGTTGTTTATTGAGCATTTTTGGTAAGATGTCTCATAAACTTGTATTTGCCAATATATTTCTTAGGACTGTTTTTAATGAAAGTTGGATTATGAATTCTTACAAGCCAAGAGTCTACTGTTTCTTTGCCATCCCTAAAGCTCTTAGCATAGAGGTTACATTTGGAAGTTGTTCAGTAAATGCTTATTGACTGGTCTTTCATCAGCTGTTTCTTCACTACTAAGTTTTCACCCTGCAAGTTAATTTCAACTGAGTACTTTCATATGAATAATAGAATATTTTTATTTTTAAGGATATGATACATTTTCTGAAAAAGCTAATTTGTAAGTCCAGAGTTGATAACTTTCATACTTTAGTTTTGAAATGCTGAGCATAATATAAGAATCAAAGTACAGGGCATCCTAGGCTCATTGGCCAGCCCATTGTTTGATAACATACCTCCAGTATATCTGAGGGCTCCACAATAAGTTTTCAGTCCTTAAATGAGGAGTGGTATTTATTCTGACATAAGACATTTCACTCTTTCATCTTCATCAAACTCTTTAGTTCCATATTAGCACAATGAACAGTGGTACTCCTGAAGGGCCACAAAGGTGCCAAGCATTATTGAGCTAAAATACAGGTGACTTAACAAAGATCTTGGACCAAAAGGTTTTTTTAAATGTGCAAAAATCACAGATAAATGAAGGTTTGGAAATATGGTTATTGTTTTCTTCCCGGAGGCTGTTTATGAGTGGTTGTGAGTTTGCAAAGTAAAGCCAGATCCTCTTTTATAAATATGCCTTTCTATTATACAGGTAATTTGCATAGTCTTCATGTCTGACAATAGGTCCAATGATTTTAGAGCATGTTATTAATCTAGCTTTATTTACCTTTCAGTGATACAAAAGAAATTTCTCCTTTCTTGTCTTTCCAACATTTTTAGTTTTCCCCCAACACTATGTAAATATTCTCCAGTCTTTTTCCTGTAAAACAACAATCTAAAAAACCTTCCCCTCAGTTTTCCTTCTCTCCATATCAAGCCTTCTCCCCTTCTTCCCTGTAGGTTAGTGTGCCATCTCACTCTTCTCACTCACAGCCAGATTTCTTGAAAGCATTTTTTAGGTTGCTACTTCCATTTTCTCCATATCTTAAACTCTTCCTCCTTGCTTTCACTAGAGTTGGCAATGACCTCCATGTCCACTGTATCAAGTGATATTTTTCAGATTTTACTTACTTTCCCAACAGCATTCATTCATTAATTCAAGAAGCATTCATTGAATGTCAGGCTTTGAGAATGCTTCAGTGACCTTAGTGACCAAAGCTTATCCTCTCAGAAGGCTTTCATTTCAGCAAAAAAGTTTGACAATAAACAGATAAACAAGTGAACAAACCAGAAATATCCAAAAATAAGTGTTATGTTAAAAGTCAAATAGGCAATATGGTAGAAAGAGAATGAGAGGCTACCTTAGGTTAATTATAGAAAACCTTTTTGAGGCTGGAATCTGAATGACAAAAAGGAATCAGAAAATTAAAGATCTTGGAGAAGATTGCTACAGGTAAAAGTAATAGCTAATGCAAATTGTGTGTGTGTGTATGCCTTTAGTGTTAAAGTTACAGATAAAAAGCAAACACATTAGGAGCTTGGTTGAAAGAGAGAGGTAGTCCTTTCAGGGCAAGGTACAGATTTTTCCATTTTATTCTAAGTGCTATGGGGAATCATTCAAAGATTTAAGCAAGATTACTCTGGTTTGCTTTAGAAATAACAGAAATAACAGAATGAGTGGTGGTGACCAAGTGCAGAAGAAGCAAGGAAACTGGTTAGTAGCTGGTCTAGGAGGAGGTCCTGACTAGAGGTGGTAGCCATGAGATGGAGAGAGATGACCCGATTTTGAATATGTTTTGGAGGTAGAATTTATTTGCTGATGAATTGGATTCAAGGGTGTGGTAGCATGCGAAAGAGAGAATTTAAGGATGATGCTTAGTTTTTTGGCTTGAGAAACAAGGTGGATAGTAATTCATTTAAGAAGAATGGAAGACTGGGGTAGTTATTTCTAAGTTTGAGAAACAAAATCAGGAGTTCTATTGTGCCCTATTACTGTGAGATAGCTACTGGACATTCAGATGAAGATATCAAGTGGCTGGATCTGTGGACAGAGGACAGGTTAGGGCTGAAGCTGTAAATCTGTAAGTCACTGGTACAGAGTTGGATGATCATGGCATTGGCTGAAAGGCAGGGTGGTGAGAGGAAAGGAATGGTCCCAGACAGGTCTTCATCTAGAAAGACTCTCCCATGATGCCTCACTTGGGTTTTCCTCTTACCTCTCTAGCTACCATTTGTCATTCTCCTTTGCATCCTCTACTCTTCTATTTCAGCCCTCTTCCCCTGTCACTTTAGAGTATAATATAGCTCTCACAGGAACAGAAGAATATAGAGTTCTCTGGACTTCAAGTTATTTCTAGTTCTCTTCCTAAATATTTTCTCAATTGATTTCTCTCCATCCTTAAACACTTCAAGCTTCTTTCCATCTTAGGACCTTCATCCTTACTGCTCTTGCCTGCAGAGTCCCTAATGTCCACCTCAGCTTTTGGTTCACATGCATACATCCTTTAGGTCGTAGCTTAAATACCACTCCCTCAGAAATGACCTTCTGAGTACTCCAGACCAAGTCAGGTTCTTTTATAATACTTGTCCACATTTGTAAATGAATTATTTGTGTAATTGAGTATCTTCCCCAAGTCATAACTCACCATTTTGTGTTCCTCTCTTCTTTTGGTTAGTGTCCAAGATGAACTGTTAGAGTAGAGACTAGCTCTAGGTTCATCGGATCCATCACTTTGTCTCCTATGCATAGAAAAGGGCCTGAATACAGATGTTCAGTAAATATTTGTAGGAGTGTTGACCAAAGGTAAAATTAATATGGAAAAGGGAGGATATAGAAGAAATAAATGAGACTCTGGAGGACATTTAAAAGTAGCTATTATACTACTAAGAGTAGTATTGAACCTATAATAACTCTTATCCTGGCATTGTGTTTGAGTACTTCAATTTCAGTTTTTGTTTCAGGGAAGAAATAAGAAAAGTTAGGGAAGAGTAGTCAAGGTCTTCTCCATTCTTAAAGCTTTAAGGTAAATAATTGGTGAGACTTAACTGAATTGTATGGACCAAACAACTCTTCCTTTTTACAGGTAGTTCTCATGTGTTGGGAAAACCATCTATATGATGCTATGATCTATGTCTACAACAGAGGCATGAATGAATTTATTAGTCCAATGGAGGTAAGATACTTCCTAACTTGGACACATATTTAATATTGTCAATTAATGGTCTTTCCCTGTTCTCTATTTGTTTTGAATAGTTTCTGTTTTCATCCAGTCCTTTTTAAATTTCAGGTCGATTTATAGATTTACACCCATTTTAGCTTGGGACTTTTAGGTAGCTTTTAATTTCATACTTTCTGCCATTGCTTTTTTTTTAGTCTGTATAAGTAGGTATTTAAATCCAGGAAACAATAGAAAGTTAAAACTAATGCTTGCCTGTTGGACTTCGTTTTTTTCCTAAGAATTTTTGGTATTATAATAGCTTTTCTAAAAAGCACAAGAAATTTATTACATACTCTTATTGTTTATAGTAAATTTACTACTGAGTCACACTGTTTGTAGAGGTATTCTGTTGGGGGAAAGTCTTGAAGATGTTGGGAGGTCTTTATTTGTTAATTGCTAATTTGTTGTTTTTCCCAGTTCAGAATTTATAGCGTTCATTCTAATTTATCATCCTTCCCAGAAGAGAGCATCTAAAACATTTGGGTTTATTTTAAAGAACCAAGCCCCATATCCATCTTGTTATTTAAGGACAATATTGTGGATAATGGGTTATGGATAATGGATTGTGGGTATGTGAGGCTCCCTGCCAACCTATTGCTTTACTACAGTGACTAATTACCTGGCTCAAAAGAGCCAGGCATCTGTGGAAGGCATCCAGGCAACATTTTTGCAGATTTAATGGCCATCCAAAACTGTCTTCAGAATTACTAAGTCAGCAGTCATCCTATGATTTTTCAGTTTTCTTTAAACACATTTGGCTTGATAGGTGAATATCTCTCTAATTCATAACTCCTTCAGTTTTGGGTGCACCTCTCTGTTCTTGGTCAGTTTCCAAAATGAGTGCCATAGCCCTTTCCCCTGATTTTGACCCTGATTGTCTATGTGTCAAGTAAGTATTTTTTTACACTTGAACACCTCTCAGCTACTTCCTCACATATGTCAAGCCTTCCCTGAGAAATTGGTTAGCTGCCTCTTGAGTGAGGTCCAGGACCTCCATGTGTGCAAAAATGTTCTCTGTCTTACTATTAGACCCACTTAGGAAGAATTAAGGCAATTTCTAGTTTCTCTCAATCCCTAAAATCAGATTCTAATATGATGCATTTTAAATTGATAAAAATATAACCCAGAGATTTATGGGTTTGGTTATTGTTCACTTTTTAAGTTTTTGTTTTGTGTGGCTTTTTTATTCCTCCAAATATGGTTTGCATTCACACCTATACATCTCAGATGGAATGCTGGACCTTTAAGGTTCTCTTTTGTTAAGAGTATGTGTACTAGCTTGGTATTTGTTATTAAAAAGTCATTTGGAAATTTTATTAATGGAGGAGAGCTCCAACTTTTGATTCCTCTTCTATAATTATCTGCCTATAAGGAAATTACTTTTCAGTGTTTAATGTTTAGTCATTTTAATACTTAAAGAGATCTAAACTGAGCAGAGGTGCCCTACTTTTTGAAATTTTCTAGATTTTCTAGAATGAAATGCAGTGCCATCACATTTGAGATGACTACTCTAGTTTGAAATCTTAGTTCTAGATTTGGCTGCTTCTGAGATATTGGGTGTTACTGGTGGGTGTGTGTGAAGTCTGAATTAACTGACAATGGACAGGTTAACCAGAAAAAAAGACAAGGTTTATTCACACATGTAGTGGGAGCACTCAGTAATGAGTAACGCACTGAAGAGCCAGAGGGAAAGGTTTGTATACCAGTTTAACAAAATGTTGGGTGATTGAGAGGGAAGAAGGGATTGAGGGCTTCCACTGGAAAGTATGGTTTTATTAGGCTTTTTGATGTTAATGAACAGTTGAATTTGTACCTGCCAGTGCTAAAGAGCAGTCTTCTCCCAAATAGGAAACTCCCTCTGAGGAAGGCTAATATAGTTTAGCTATTAATCTTATTGTCTTTTTAGAGGCTGTGCTTAAATTTAGATAGTTTCTTTCTTTGGCTGCTGATTGTTCAGATGTTTTTACTTTAAAGTAATCTTAATTACCATTTTGGTGGGCTATTAATCCCTTAAATGCTTGCTATTTTTTAAAAAATAAAGAATCTTTAGGAACCTAAGGACATTTTGTTTCAAAAACTATAATCTCAACAAAGACCTTCATCTAATTTACTTATTAAATGTTTTCTTTCAGCAAGGAATATGACAATGATTATTTCCCAGTGATCTTTCTAAAATGGTTCATGTCCACATCAAAAGTTTTTATATTTAATCTGAATAACAAATGACTAATTCAGTCAGAGAAATGTGATTAATAGCAGAGATTCTTGATTTTAAAAATATTCTTCTTTTAAAATGATGGTGATTATTTTCCTATTCGTTTTAATGCAGAAACTTTTCAGAGTCATTGCTTCTCCTCTGAATGCAGGAAAGACACTAACAGGTATTAATTTTCTAAGCCTTAATTTTTTCTCTTTTTAAAATTTTATGGTATTATTTAAAGATAAAATTCACCAATTTTATGTGTACAGTGTGAATTTTGATAATTGTATATAGTCATGTAACCACCACCATAATCAAACTATAGAAGGAACTACATGGTTTGTTCACACTAATAAGTTTCCTCCTGCTCCTTTGTAATCAGTCCTTTCCCCAGCGCCCCACCTCCAGGCAATCACTGATGTACTTTCTGTCACTACATTTCATGTTAGTGAAATTACACAGTATGTAATCTTTGGTGTTTTATTTCTTTCATTTAGCACAATGTTTTTGAGGTTTGTCCATGTTATTGCATGTATTAATACTTTGTTTTCTTTTACTGCTGAATGGTATTTCATGGATTGGCTATACTGTCATTTGTTTATTCACCAGTTGCTGGACATATGAGTGCTTCCAATAAGCTACTATAACATCTGTGGATGAGTTTTTTTGTTTACAATTAAACTTTTTATTATGAGGTAATCATTATTCACCTGCAGTTGTAAGAAATGACATAACATCTTGTGTACTCCTGACCAGTTCCTCTCAATGCTAATTTTGCAAAACAAAATCACAATATCACATCCAGATATCACAGTGATAAAAATCAAGATACAGAACAGTTTTATTACCACAGGTATCCTTACATTGCCTTTAACCCCCATCGCTAACCCCTGGCTATAAATAACATTTTGTGTAGGTAGATGTGTTCATTTTTCTTGGGCAACTACCTAGGATTGGAGTGGATGGAGTGTGTGATAAATGTATGTTTTACTTTCTAAGGTACTGTTATTTGTTTTTCAAAATGCCCATACCATTTTGCATTCCCATCAGCAAAATATGAGAGTTCCAGTTGCTCCATATCCTTGTCAGCACTTAGCATTGTCAGTCTTCTAAAAATCTCATAAAATTTTTAGCCATTGTAGTGGTGTAATATCTCACTGGGCTTTTAATTTTCATTTCCCTACTAGTGATGTTGAACATCGTTTCATGTGCTCTTGCCCAATCACATACATTTTTCTGTGAATTGTCTGTTTAAATCTTTAGCACTCTTTGGGGGTAGGGAAAAAAGTATTATTTAGCTTTATTTTGAGTTATAATAGTTTCAAGTGAGTGAATTCTCCACCAGAGCCTATAGGAATGCTTTATGCAGTTTGAAGACAAGCCCTTTAACAATATATGTTTTACAAAACTTTTCTACCAGTATGTTGCTTACCTTTTTATTTTCTTAACCATGTTTTTTTAAAGAACAAAAAAGTTTTTAATCTTCATTATGTCCATTTTATTTTGTTCTTTTGTAATTTTAGACTTTTGTTGCTCTGTTTAAGAAATCTCTGTCCAATTCTATGTCATGAAGATTTTCTCCTACATTTTCTTTCAGTAATTAATACTTTCAGCACTTCTTTTTAGTTCTAAATCCATTGAGATTAATTTTCCTGTGTGATACAAGGTAAAGAGCAAGGACTTTTTTCCTGTATAGCTTTCAATTCCTTTACCATTTTTTGAAAAGATTATTCTGTTTCCACTAAACTACCTTTGACACCTTTTTTGTAAAAAATCAATTGACTCTATAAGTAGGTCTTTTTCTGTGCTCTCTGTTATGTTCCATTGATGTGCCTATACTTATATCAATAGTATACTTTCTTGAATATTATATCTTTGTAGTAAGTCTTGAAATCAGGTACCTTAAGTCCTCCAACTTTGTTTTTCTTTTTCAAAATTGGTTTAGCTGGTCTAGGTTTAGCTAGTCCTTTGCCTTCCCTTATAAACTTTAAAGTCAGTCATCAGTTTCTTTAAAAGCTAATTAGAATTTTGTCTGGGATTACATTGACCCTATAGATTAATTTTGGAGGGATTACCATCTTAACACCATTGAACCTTCTAATCTATAAATATGATATGTTTCTTCATTTATTTCCATCTTTTAAAATCAGTGTGCTTTTCCAAGTTCTTTAGAAAGGCAGGTGAGATTTTTTGGTAAGGATTGCTTGGAATCTACAGATCAATTTAAGGAGTACTGCTACCTTAACATTCGTAAGTCTTCCAATCCATCAACACAGAATGCCTTTCATTTATTTAGATCTTGTTTAATTTCTTTCAGAGACGGTCCAGTGATGTTTTGCCATTTTTGGTATACAAGTCATATACTTCTTTTGTTAATTCCTATTTTATTCCTATTTTATTCATTTTGATGCTATTAGAAATGAAATTGGTTTTTAATTTCATTTTTAGAATGGACATCATACAGAAGTAAAATTGGTTTTTGTGCACTGAATTTACATTCTTCATCCTTCCTGAATTATTAGTTCTGATTTTTTAAATGGATTCCTTAGAATTTTCTACATATGTAAGATCATGTCATCCATAAATATAGTTTTACACCTTCCCTTCTAATCTGGATGCCTTTTATTTCTTTTTCTTCCTTAATTGGCCTGCCTAGAACCTCCATGAAAATGTTGAAGTGACAAGAGTGCATATCTATCTTTTTCCTGATCTAAAGGGGAAATTATTCAGTTTTTCACCATTAAATATAATATAAACTGAGTTTTTTTGTAGATGGCTTTATCAGTTTAAAGAAGTTTCCTTCTATTTCTAGTGTGTTGAGTATTTTTAACACAAAAGAGTTTAATTTTATCAAATGCTTTTCCCTGCATATATTAGGAAAATCTTGAGGGCTTTGTCCTTTATTCTATTTATTTGGTCTGTAAGATTTGATTGATTTTCATATGGTAAGCCAATCTTATATTCCAGGGATAAATCTCACTTAGTCATGGTGTATACATCTTTTTTACATGTTGCAGATTTTTTTGGTAGGGGGAGGAGGATTTTTATGCCTATATTCAAAAAGGATATTCTGTAGTTTTATTTTCTTTCATATCTTTTTCTGATCTTGGTATCAAGTATACCTGATATGTTGGTATACTTGCTTCATGGAATGGGTTGGAAAGTGTTCCCTTTTCCGTTTTTCAGAAAAGTTTGCAAAGGACTGATATTAATACTTCCTTAAATGTTCTAGGAGTCATTAGTGAAGCCATGTGGGCCTAGGATATTCCTTATTGGAAGTGTTTAAATGACAAGTTCAGCCTCTTTGCTTGTTTTAGTCTATTCAAATAATCTATTTATTCCTGAGTAAGTGTTTGTGTATTTCCAGGAATTTGACCATTTCATCTATTATCTAATTTGTTGGTATATAGTATTCATGTATTCCTTTTATTTTTATAAGGGCAGGAGTGATGTCTCTTATTGCTGATGATTGTAATTTGAGTCTTCTTGGTCTGTCTAGCTATAGGTTTGTCAATTTTGTTGGTCTTTTCAAAGAACCAATTTTGATATTGTTGATATATTCTGTATTTTTCTTTCCTATTTCATTTATTTTCACTCTATATAATTTACTTCCTCTTTCTTTGGGTTTAATTTGCTCTTTTTTTAGTTTCTTGAGGTAGAAGTTCAGGTTATTGATTTGAAATTTTTATTTTTCTTAAAAATAGATGCTTATACCTGTAAATATCCCTCTAAATAATGCTTTATCTGCATCCCTTAAGTTTTGGTATGTTGTATCTTCATTTTCATTCATGTCAAAATATTTTCTTATTTCCCTATGGTATTGGTCATTTAGAAATATGTTGTTGTAACTCCAGGGGAAAATCCTGGGGCAAAATACCTTTGAAACCAAAATCAGTCAAAAGGAGAAATAAAGTGGGAGAAACCCATTTATTGCTTACAAGCCATCATCCACTTCTGCTTGCCCTTGTCTCTTGTGACCTGGCTGCAGAAGAACAAGCAGTCCCACCCAACCTCTCTGGTCCAGATATGCTCCAGCTCCCCCTTGTAATTACCCATTGATATAGAGATAGACTACTTCTCTCCACCCCTTGAAAACACCTATTGATATGGAGATGCACTAAAGCCAGGCAAGAGATTCTGGAAATGTTGCAATTTTAACCACAGTTGTTTAATTTCCATATATTTGTGAGTTTGTTACATTTCCTTCTGATATTTCTAATTTTATTCCAGTGTGGTCAGAGAACATAGTTTGTGTGATTTCTATCTTTTAAAATTTATTGGGACTTATTTTATAGCCTAACACATTATCTATTCTGGAGAATGTTCCATGTGCACTTGAAAATAATGTTGCGTGTGTTTTGTTGTTGAGTGGAATGTTCTATAGATGTTTGTTACTTCTAGTTGGTTATAGTTTTAAGAATTCTATTACCTGTTCATCTTCTGCTAAGTGTTCTGTCCATTTTTGAAAATGGAATACTGAAGTCTCCAACTGTTATAGTTGTACAGTCTGCTTCTTTAAGTCCATAAGTTTTTGCTTCATTTTATTTTGGACTTTTCAGTGCCCAAACATGCATTTTAAAATTCTGCATTAGCCTTTGCTTCCTGATTGTGTAGAGTCTCATATTCAGCCATAAGTTATAGCTTGGGCCCTTTTAGGTTTTTCCTGGGTATGTTCACAGCCCTATACATGCACATATCCTCCTAGATAGAGTTGCAGAAATGAAGTGAGGTTTTTTAAAGCCTCCTGCAGGCCTCCCATTCTCCAGTTTCTCCTTTTAAGTTTTTTTGGTGGGCCTCTTGGTAGTTCCTTCTGGTAGCACTTGCTCTGGTACCTGTAAAGTTAAACAAGTGGTCTGATTGTTTTTGACAAATGCCCTGGGGATAGTGTTTTTGCATAGAATCAACTCTGAGTCAGGACTGAAAAAGACAAGCCCTGGGAATTGGATCTCTGAGGATGAGGCTTTTGGGGAGCTCCACAACTGTTCTCCCCCAAGTGGCTGCTAAGTTGCTGGTTTTCACAGCTACTGTGGTTGTAAGACTGTTGGTTTTCAAAGCTATGGTGAAGCTGGGGAAAGAGGGATGGGACTAGATAAAGTTCAAACACTGTAAAGCTAACTGATCTGACTGAGATTAGGCCATTTCTCTTGAGTAAACATGCCTTGGGTTGTTGCACACCTTAAG